AGTATGTGGCATCATCTCTGAGCCATGCTACCGTTCCGTGAAGATGCTGACCAATTCTTCTAGGATTGCCGAAATTGAGAGACAGATTGGAGCCGGCCTGATTGAGGAGGTCATTGAGGTTGCTGAGGGCGAGTTGAAGGTTGTTGACGAGCTGTACAAGACTTCCGCGTAAGTTGGCCGATTGACAAGTTTTCGATTGAAGCCAGAGATGCTAACGTTAGCTTAGTTGGGAGGAGCTTTCCGAGAAGCCCAGACCCGGCCAGTGGTCTTACTTTGAGCGCAAGACCGAGTAAGCATAGAATGGTTTTCTCATGAATGGAGGATCCGAAACTAGATTCCCCATCTGCTTGTAATTATTATCTTATGGTTGTGTGAAACAAAATTCGATGCCAATGGCAGGCCAATTTCATTTTCATGGGGTTACTTTGATAGAAGTAGTGATAATGCCGTTAATTCCTGGTTATAAATGTCCCTTGGAGAAAAGAAACTGAGGGAGCTGGTGCAAGTGATGCGTGTGATGTGTATAGTTTATTGCTCTAGTTGATGACTACTGCATTCACCCCCACGGGGTGCTTGAAATGGTCGCACCTGCACTCAGGAATTCCCTTCTCAGATAATCTACAATCAGAAAGGCATCCACAAGCATCTATATCTTGGAGTGATGCAGGGTTGATGTTTGATGCTCAAATGGAATCACAAACCGTAGGCGGTGAGCCCCATATGGCTAGCCGGTTCCAGATAGCTGGCGGGATTCCGTCTCCTTGTGGACACATCGCTGCCAGTCCCTGAACCATCTTCGTTGACCTTGCTGGCCATTCCGGTCGGGGACTTTCCTTCTTTCTTTGCGCTCTCATCTACCTGCTTCTCGGGACTCCTTTGAATAGACGGGCTGGCTGTTTGAGTGGCTCGTGGCCTGGTTTCCCCTCCTTCTCTCAGGCCGTTCTCCGACGCCGCACATAGTCGCGACTCTCCTTCCCCACACATCATGAAATTGGATGTCAAGGTACGGACTATAATGCGGGGTCTAAAGCCCTTAGTTCAATAAGAGGCCGTGGCGTGCAGAGGATATACTCTTGGGAAACAATTGTACGGATGCTGACTGTTGTTGTGGCCTAACAGAGACAGCTGTTCGCCCGCTCCGAGCGGGTGAAGGGCATTGACTTCCATCCCACAGAGCCATGGGTGAGTACTCAATCGCTGCAAATCCGTCGATCAATACTAATGGCTTTCAGATCCTCACAACGTTATATAGCGGTGCGTGACGGTAGCGAGTGGAGGAAATCATCGAATGTGATGTGCTAATTCGACATAGGCCATGTATACATCTGGTCTTACGAGACTCAGGTGAGTTGTGCAGACAAGGAATTGCTATGATGCACTGCTGATTGCTGAACTATGTAGTCGATTATCAAAACCTTCGAACTCACCGATGTCCCTGTACGAGCCGGTCGATTCATCGCTCGCAAGAACTGGATTGTCTGCGGTTCCGATGACTTCCAACTTCGCGTCTACAATTACAACACCTCCGAGAAGATTGCCTCGTTTGAGGCGCATCCGGATTACATTCGTTCCATCGCAGTGCACCCTACCCAGCCTTTTGTTCTTACGGCGTCCGATGATATGACGATCAAGCTCTGGGACTGGGAGAGGGGCTGGAAGTGTGTCCAGGTGTACGAGGGCCATAGCCACTACGTGATGGGGCTTGCTATCAACCCCAAGGATACAAACACCTTCGCCTCCGCTTGTTTGGACCGTACCGTCAAGATCTGGAGCCTTGGCTCGCCTCACGCCAACTTCACCCTGGAAGCCCATGAAACCAAGGGTGTCAACCATGTCGATTACTACCCACAAGCGGATAAGCCATACCTTCTTACGACATCAGATGACAGGACCGTCAAGATCTGGGATTACACGACGAAGGCGCTCATTGCAACCCTGGAAGGACACACAAGTAACGTTTCGTTTGCCTGCTACCACCCGGAGTTGCCGGTCATTATCTCCGGATCGGAGGATGGAACTATCAAGCTCTGGCATGCAAACACATACAGGCTGGAGCAGTCGCTAAGCTATGGCTTGGAGCGTGCCTGGTGTATCGCTTACCAGCGTGGCAGACAGGGTGTTGCAATGGGTTTCGACGACGGTGCGGTAGTTGTGAAGATGGGCAGAGAGGAGCCGGCGGTTTCCATGGACGGCTCAGGAAAGATCATCTGGGCCAGGCACAACGAGGTCGTTTCCACTGTCATCAAGGGTGGTGATGCTAGCATCAAGGACGGCGCACCGCTGTCTCTCCCCACTAAGGAGCTGGGATCTTGTGAGGTCTATCCCCAGACGCTGTCTCATTCCCCCAACGGCCGTTTCGTTTCGGTATGTGGTGATGGTGAGTACATCATCTACACTGCCCTTGCCTGGCGAAACAAGGCTTTTGGACAGGCCCTGGACTTCGCATGGGGCTCCAAGGACAACAGCAACGATTACGCTATCCGGGAGTCCACGACCAGCGTGAAGATCTTCAAGAACTTCAAGGAAGTCAGTGGTGGTCTGGACGTGGGCTTTCAGGCTGAGGGTCTCACCGATGGTGTGCTTCTTGGTGTTAAGGGACAAGGAGGTATTGGTATGTTCGACTGGGAGACGGGTAACTTGGTCCGCCGCATCGAAGTCGACCCCAAGGCTGTAAGTATCCACCAACGACTAAATTAAGACGACCCTTCACTCACACCTCGAATAGGTCTACTGGTCCGAGTCCGGCGAGCTGGTGACCCTGGCTTGTGAGGATACTTTCTACGTCCTCCGCTTCTCCAGGGAGAACTACGTGAACGGTCTGAACGCCGGCGAAGCAGACGAGGATGGAGTGGAGTCCGCTTTCGAAGTTGTCACCGACATCAACGAGTCCGTCCGCACAGGTCAATGGGTTGGAGACTGCTTCATCTACACGAATTCGACCAACCGCCTGAACTACCTGGTCGGTGACCAGACCTACACCATTTCCCACTTCGACCAGGGCATGTACGTCCTGGGCTACCTGCCCCGCGATGGCAGAGTCTACCTTGCTGACAAGGACGTCAACGTTGTCTCCTTCGGTCTCTCCCTTAGCATGGTCGAGTACCAGACCGTGGTGCTGCGTGGCGATATGGACATGGCAGCTGAGCTGCTCAAAGACGTACCCCAGGACCAGATGAACAAGGTTGCACGATTCCTCGAAGGCCAAGGCTACAAGGAAATGGCCCTTGAAGTCGCAACCGACCAAGAGCACCGGTTCGAGCTGGCACTCGGGCTCAGCAACCTCGACATCGCCCTGGAAATTGCCCGTGAAGCCAACAACGAGCACAAGTGGAAGACGGTCGGAGATGCCGCCTTGGCAGGATGGAACCTGGCCTTGGCCCAAGAATGCTTCACCAACGCCAAGGACGTCGGCTCTCTCCTCCTTCTGCACACTGCCAGCGGCAACAAGGACGGTCTCCGTCAGCTGGCCGAGCAAGCCTCGGAAGCCGGCCTCCACAACGTCGCCTTCTCCACCTTCTGGTCCCTCGGCGACGTTGACGGCTGCATCGACCTCCTGGTGCGTACCAACCGTCTGGCCGAATCTGTTCTCTTCGCACAGACCTACAAGCCTTCCCGTGCCCCTGCTCTCGTCGCACAATGGAAAGAGTCTCTCGAGGGATCCGGCAAGACCAAGATCGCCCGTCTCATCGGTATTCCCCCGGGCTGCCCTGACCTCGCCGCAGACGATGACCTCTTCCCGGAGTGGGACGAGTACCTTCGTCTAGAGAAGGAGGGAGTTGTTCCTGAGCCCCCCTCCTCAGAGTCTTTGATCGATGTGCACGCCGACGAAGACGGCAATGCCGTGTCGGCAGGTAATGGTGAGCCCGAGGTGGAAGCTCAAGCCGAAGCCGAAGCCGAGGCCGAAGAGGAAGAGGCCGAAGAAGAAGAAACTGAGGCATGATTGACGATGGTTGTATAAGGTGGGGGAAGAATTGGGAGACAGCGTGTGTGTGAGGCTTTTCCTTTAATTTCCGCAGGAGTGGGAAGAAGAGAAGTGAGAAGAGGAAAAATTATTTCCATGTACCGTTGACAACCCTCCTACTTACTCTTATCTAGCTTGCTTGCTCATTTTTTACATAACTTTATTCATCCTTCTAGAACTATGTTTTGTCTTTTTTTTTTCTTACATCTGCTTGGTTTGTCATCATGATTCAATCTTATGTTCATCCTTTTTTCTCTTTTATATTTGAACATTGTATGTTTCTTCGGTTCAGTTCTCCATTCTACTACCTGTATCTATCACCCCTTGTTCTAACGATTTGAAGTGATGATCATAATATTGTGTCCCCTATTTCTGCGTATGGTGAGATTTGGACAGTACGGTGTATGAGCTACCACTCTATATTTGTTTGTGTGACGCAGATTCAGTTGTACCATTGTCTATGAGCCAGCCATGTCAAATCAACAAAACACCCTTACCGGCAACTGGTTTAGCCCATCCCAGCGCGCAAAGAGAGCAGAACCCAGACAAAAATTTTCGACAGTAACATGAGTAAGGAACAGCTAAATGTCTAAATCGAGGACCGCTCAAATGTGTACTTTCATATGTAGATCGTTCCCAAATGGATTTGGCTTTCCCAGGAGCGATCCGTGTTCCGCTGGAGCAGCAAAGGATCGGACCAGCAAATCTGAAACAGAACGAGGTCGGTTCATCAGGCATACAGTGGCCCTGTGCAGAGGGCTAAAATGTGGGAGCTTTTCGCTTTACCTGTGCCGTCCGCCTGTTGTTCGAAAATGGAAGCAAATCACTGACGCAAGCCCGAGACAAACTTGTGAAATGATGCGGCAGTCGAAAGAGGTGTGATAATGACAGAAAATGAGAAATGCACGAAAGGGACCCGCCTCAATTGTATCTTGAATGCAAACCAGGATAGAAAAACACAAGCGCTCAGCCGAGATCACCGCCACATAGAATGGATTCCAACAGAAAGATACCATATACCACTTGTGCTAAGGGGAAAAACAGGGAGAACCAGCAGTGAAGCAAGTGCTCGAGCTATGCAGAGAATATGCACGAGTAAAGGTGAAAAAGCAAGAAATTGTCTCAAACAATTTCCCTTTATGTCTTGAAGGGACGTATGGTGTTCAAGTGAGTCGATTGATGATATATCAGCTTTTTTACTCGGTGATGCTACCAAAAGAGGGATCCTTGACACTGCCACCGGCGTCGCCAAGACCGGCAACCGGGCGGTTGTAAGACCAGCCTTCGAATTGTTGCTGCATAGTCTGTGACAGCATGGGGCCGTCCACGTACGAATCTTGCGGTGCTTCGGAGGTGAACTCCCGATCGAAGTTGGTGATATCGCGAGCGCCCATCTACAAAGGTTAGTCATCATCACCGTAATACGCTAGCCACATCAAACAGTTACATACCACGTTCGGACGGAAGCTGGGCTCGTACTTCCGCTGGAGAAGCTTGCGCCAATCGATGTTAGCGAAGAAGTGGTGCGACTTGATCTCCGCTGCGCCGTTAGCTCCCAACCGACGTTGAGGATCGCGATCAAGCAGTCGGCTCAGCAGATCCCGAGCGGCCGGGGGAACAATGTCCGTGCTGGGGAAAGTCAGGGGCTCCTGAAGGATCTTCCGATACATATCGTTGGTGTTTTCGTCGTAGAAGGGGGGAAGACCCGTCAACATCTCGTAAAGGAGGACACCCAGCGTCCACCAGTCAACGGTCTTTGTGTATCCGTTTCCAAGCAAAAGCTCGGGTGCGAGGTATTCAGGGGTACCACAGAACGCTGTGTAGAAAATTAGACGTATTCAGGTTGAAAGCAGGGGTAATCTTACTGTTTGTGCGATCCTCATCCTTCATGTCCAACTTGCACAGACCAAAGTCGCACAGAGCAATGTGGCCAGTGTAATCCAGAAGAATGTTTTCAGGCTTGAGATCACGGTAGATGACCTTGAAACCATGCAGGCACTCCAGCGCACAGAGCAGCTCGGCAGTGTAAAAACGGGCCCGGTTGATATCGAAGCGCTGCTCGCGCTGAAGGTGATGGAACAGCTCACCGCCGTTGACGAAAGCAAGGACGAGGTACAGCTTCTCCGGAGACTGGAAGGAGAACTTGAGAGGGACGATGAAGGGGTTGTTGATTTGAGAGAGCACGGATCTTTCGGCGAGGGTGTGGGTGACTTCCGACCGTGAGATGATGTGCGCCTTGCGGATAGTCTTGAGGGCGTAAATCCGACCCGTATCCTTCTTCATGACCTGCATGACCTTGCCGAAACTACCCTTACCCACAACCTTCAGCAACTCGAAGTCTTCCAACTTCATGCTGCGCTGCTTGTTCTCGACGAAGGAGACACCAATCTTGATGGAACCGGTGCCGAACTGCATATCCAGCCATTCGGCGCCCAGCTGACCCAGCTGGCGCTCCTGCGGCGTCTTCTTGGACTTGGGGTCTTCCGCATGGGGCTGAGCCTCTTCGAAATGAGGATGTACCTTGACGGCGCCGAGGAAGATATCCTCGCTGCGACCAGCGCCAGGACGAGCCGTGGGGTTCCGCAAATACAACTGGACGTTCAATTCCGTCTTGCGCGACACATCAAACTTATACGCCGTGTTGTCTCCAGCCCACAAGGGGTTTTCGGGGGAACCAGAAACGGCGTCGACGAAAACTTGGTTCTTTTCGAAATCCAGAAGGGCATAGGGGAGGTACTTGGTCGAATAGCGACCGTGGGAGGTCGGAGCGGCATTGATACCCCCGCTGGTGGATTGAGGGCGACCGCTGGGGACGTAGGAGGCGGCCTGTCCGTGTGCAGAGTGGGATGACGAAGAGCTTGGACGCATGCCATAGGAACCGCTGCTCTGGAAATGGGAGTTGAAGATCTGTTGGTAGTGGGGGGAAAGAGAGAAGCCTCGACCTTCGTGGAGGGTGACGATCAGGATTCCGGGCTTGACAGGGGCCACGGGCGGGGAGACGAGTGACTCCGAGGCATCTTTGAAAGAGTGTTAGACGGTCGGCAGAGAATTGAAGAGAGTAGGAACAACATACTGATTCCATTGGAGTTTGTTGTGGAGATACTGGGGGTTTGCGAAACAACGGGGGTCTCTTCGCCAGAATCACCTTTGATGGTGGATGTGGAGGAGGATCGGGTGAATGTTTGGGTCAAAGGAGCCAAGTGCGTCTCCTTTAGTTCTGTATGAGGGAATTAATTCATTAGCATCCGATATGGCGGGACAAAGGAAACACAACCGGGCATAAACATCGCACATACTTCTAGTGAGTTTCCACGACATTGTCATAGGGATGTTCTAGCAAGCGAATCCAGGGTGTGTATATGTTTGGAGAAAGGGAGAAGAGGGAGAGGAAGGGAACAGAAAAAGAGAGGATCTTTTTGAACAGTCTTCCGACAGTTTTAAGGAAGAGGAAAAGGAGAGAGGAATAGGAGGCCAACAACTGGGTCGGAGGCCTGGCAGAGAAGAAGGGCAGAACGAGCCAGACCAGTCAAGTGCAGTGATAATATGCAGAACCGCCACAGCCACAGCGGTCAGCGACACAGAAAAACGAAGGAGGAGAGAGAGGGAGGGAGAGAGGAATGAGGAGGGCGAGGGTAAGTAAGTAGTAGTAGTAGTAGTAGTTTCAGGAACCACCGATCGGGGCGGGAACAGGGGAACACCCGCAAACTGTACAAGACGCTTGAAGAACAAACGAAATGATGATGGAAGTAGAACCAGGGTCGGGGACACGATGCAACAACGAGAAGGAGGATCGACCCGGAAAGTGACTTATTTTTTAGGGAGAGACAGTTGATAAGGCGAATTGGGGGGGAAAGAATTGGGAAATGGGGGGAGGAGGAGTAGGAGGGGGGGGAAAGGGAAGAGGGGGTGAATGAATGAAGGTGGGAAAGGGACTGAGCGAGGCTGAACTCTGAATAGAATAAGTCGCCGCCACTCCGTCCTTCATTGGCCCAGGAACCCCGTTGCCTGAATGTGTGCCTGGGGCACCAATCTTTGTCACCCTGAGGCGGTGCATTCCCAGATCGTAGTCTAGTCCCGATAAAGTAACCACCAAGTGCACTAGCCTCAGAGCTTAGCCACCGCCCACCCCCAAGAACCTCGAATCGTCCGTCCGCCGATACGCGACCAGTCTCCTGTTCACTGCAAACTGCTACTATCACAATCCTTCAGCCATCCCCAGAAACCTTGTTGGTATTACGGTTCTTGTCTGTGCTGGATCGACTTTTTTGGGACTAACCTGACGTTGAGTCCTCAAGGTTACTCCACCCTAGTTTCCCCGGCATTTCCCCCCGCTCATCGACTGCGGAGACGTACATCCCTTTGCGCTACCGTCGTTCTCCGGACCATCACCTTCATACCCGACGCGCATCACTCTTTTCTAATTAGTTCCAAATTGCCCTCTCATTTCACTGGAGGGCGTGTCGGTGTGGTCGAAACGGATCCGGGAACATTGGAGGATGAAAGGGACCCGCGACCGATGGGTGTAATACGGAAGAAGACCGCCTCGCGCGGCACTGAAGCGGGCACCAAGTATCACTGCGATATCTGCTCGGTTGATGTGACTTCGACGGTACAGTCTGCGATCCGTGTTCTAGAAATCTCCGCCTCTTGTCGGCCTTAAACCTAATCTATCGGTCTCTTACTAGGTTCGCGTATCTTGCGCCCATCCCGCCTGCCACGAATACGATCTCTGCGTCCCCTGCTTCGCTGCCGGAGAGAAATCCAAGAACCATGACCCGTCAACGCATCCATTCCAGGTGATCGAACAGAACTCGGTCCCGATCTTCGAGGAGGACTGGGGTGCGGACGAGGAGCTCCTGCTGCTGGAAGGCGCCGAGATCTACGGACTGGGATCATGGGCGGACATTGCAGACCACATTGGTGGTTACCGCACCAAGGAGGAGGTTCGCGACCACTACATCAGCGCCTATATCGATAGCCCGAACTTCCCGTTACCGGAACGCGCCGATCCGGACGACAAGCGCCTTTCGGAGGCCATTTCGAAGGAAGAATTCCAGGCGCGGAAGAAACGCCGCATCGAAGAGCGCAAAGAGGCGGCCAAGGCAGCTCCACCCACAACACCGAAGCAGAAGCCTACTGCCAGTGTACCGGCTTGTCACGAAGTGCAGGGCTACATGCCGGGTCGGTTGGAGTTTGAGACAGAGTTCATGAACGAAGCGGAGGAAGCGGTGCAGCACATGACGTTCGAGCCTGGTGCGGGCGAGACGGCGAACGGCGAGACAGACGCGGAAATGGAATTGAAGATGACCGTGGTGGATATCTATAACTCGCGGCTTACGGCCCGCACGGAGCGCAAGAAGATCCTCTTCGAGCACAACCTCCTCGAGTACCGCAAGAACACGGCACTGGAGAAGAAGCGCACGAAAGAGGAGCGCGACTTGCTGAACAAGGCGAAGCCGTTTGCCCGGATGATGAACCACGATGATTTTGAAGAGTTCAACAAGGGCCTCGAGTACGAGCACAACCTGCGGCTAGCCATCACGCAGCTCCAAGAGTGGCGCCAGATGGGGATCGGCGATCTCAAGGGCGGAGAGAAATACGAACAGGAGAAGCAACAGCGGGCACAGCGGATGGTGCCGCAGGGCTCGTTTGATCGGTTCGCCAGCACGCGACCGACGAAGCAGTCGCAGCAACCAGAACAGCCGTCCGCTGCCAGTCAGCTGACGACCCCAGAGCTTCCTCTCCGGCTACAAAAGGCGTCCGGGGCGCCTAAGGCACCAGAGCCTGTTAACCCGCCGATGAATGATTTTGATCGGGCGTTTGCCGCCACCAATGGCGACGGGATCAGCACGCCGCAGCCAGTGAAGACCAAGTTTGTGATCCAGCCACTGAACGGAGTGATTCCGTGGAAGCTGGAGAACGAGGGAGCACCGGATCTGCACCTGCTGACCAAGGAGGAGGTCGAGGTGTGCAATGTGCTGCACATGCAGCCCAAACCGTACCTAGTAATTAAGGAGACGTTATTGAAAGAGGCGATGAAGCAGGGCGGCAGTTTAAAGAAGAAGGACGCGCGAGCTATTTGCAAGGTAACCAACCCTCTTTCCCTCTGCCAGCGAAAGAAGTGATATGGAATACTGACAAAGGTTTCTACAGGTTGACAGTACCAAGACGAGTCGGATCTACGATTTCATGGTACACAGCGGCTGGATCAACAAGAGCTGAGCGTCTGATTTGCATGAGCAGGATACCACGTGGTTCTGAGTAAGGAGTTGCGGCGTTGTGAGGTAGATGATACGATTTACGGGTTCGATTAAGTGATTAAGTAGATGGACATATAGTTCAATCTATACAAGGGACAAACTAATCCTTCAATTGACTATAAAATAAACAGACTTTATTTTATTCTTTACGACTTCCATGTAGTTACTACAGTCATCCATGATATTAAGAGACAATAATCGGAACCGATACCCACCGACTAACCACAGAACCAGTCTAGCGGCAAAGACCGTCTTCTCCGCATTCCAATCCAACCAGCTTACCTTTTAAGTACGTATAACATCCGACCGAACCTCGGCATCATTTAAGACCCGTAATCAATCATACACCTTTATATAACAACAACACCACTCCTCCCAATTCTATCTACCTTAATTCCATAACCCTCACCATACCCCAACCCATCTAATATCCCAAAGAAGAATAAAAGAAAAAGATGGCACCAACCCTCCCCATCCCCACTTCAAACACAATAACCGTCTCTCTCCCCCACCCACACGTCCTCCTAGTCACTCTCTCCCGACCCAAAGCACTCAACAGCATTTCCACCGCGGGCCACCACGACCTCCACGCCATCTGGACCTGGATGGACAATGAGCCCTCAATAAGAGTAGGCATATTGACTGGATCCGGGAGGGCGTTTTGCGCGGGCGCAGACCTAAAAGGTAATTACCCATACCCATACCCATACCCATACCCATACCCCTACCCCATTCTTCTCCCTCTCACCAACATAATACTCATTGCATATATGTACATATAGAATGGAACACCAACGTCCAAACCTCCACATCATCCAGTCCCACTCCCTCCCCCACCTCCACACCAGGCATGCCCCCCAGCGGCTTCGGAGGCCTCTCCCGACGGAGCGGCAAAAAGCCCATTATCTGCGCAGTGAACGGGCTCTGCCTGGGGGGCGGATGCGAGATGGTGCTCAACGCCGACATGGTGATCGCTTCTTCTAAAGCGTATTTCGGGTTGCCGGAGGTGCAGCGCGGGGTGGTGGCGTGGGCGGGGGCGTTGCCGCGGCTGGGGAGGATTGTGGGACGGCAGAGGGCGATGGAGATGGCGTTGACGGGGAGGAAGGTTCCTGCGGAGGAGGCGGAGAGGTGGGGGATTGTGAATGAGGTTGTTGGTGATGATGGTGGGAAGGGGGTGGTGGAGAGGGCGGTGGAGGTTGCGGTGCAGATTGCGGGGAATAGTCCTGATGCGGTGTTGGTTAGTCGGGAGGGAGTCAAGTTGGGGTGGGAGGGGATTGGGGTTGAGGAGGCGACGAAGTTGTTGATGGAGGGGTGGTCGGAGAAGTTGAATCAGGGGGAGAATATTAGGGAGGGATTGAGGGCGTTTGTGGAGAAGAGGAAGCCCGTCTGGAGGGATAGTAAGTTGTAAGTAATCGGTTAAGATCTATATCGGCTACTGTTTATAAAAGACCTGGCATAAAATTCATGTTCAGTCATGTATTCGTGCTAGTTGCCTGCAACTATGTACATCATTATCATGTTATGACTATGCTAATCCGTTCCCATACCCATGCTCCATATCCGCGCCGACCAGTGTTCGCCGTATCCCAGATGGCCTGTCACCGTCCTGCGGCGGGGCCAGTTGTACATGCAGGTGATCGACTCGGAATGCTTTCGCAGTTTTCGTAATCGTAATCGTGAACATCAGAGAAGACAGTGTGCAACAACAGCAAATTGCCTTTACTTCGTCCCCTGCTGCACCTTGCGCACCCGCTCCAGCACGGCAGGATACAGAGGGTGTTTCTCTTCCAGGCCGGTGAGATTGCTGGTGGCATCTTCCGCCGACTGTTCTTGGAGAATGTTGGCGAGCTCGGCACTTTCGTCGTCACCAGGCACGTTCTGGAAGCGCAGAGCCATCTCGACAGCGTCCATCAAAGAATCATACTTCATGCCGCGCTCGGCGAGCTGCGAAGCCGGTCCAATGAAACGCTCTTTGCGAGACAGCTTGCGCAGGGGAGCACGACCCACGCGTTCGACATTGTCCTCCAGATAAGGGTTGGAGATGCGGCTGACGATCTTATCGACGTACTCCTTCTGCTCCTCCTCTGAGATGTCGTGCTTGGCCACGATGAGTGAGGCAGTCTCGTCAAGAACCTTGTGAACAAGTCCACGGATCTCCTTGTCTTCCAGAGCGTCGGCAATCATCT